AGGAATGTGTCACCACTGTCCCACGTGAATTAACATTTGAAAATACTAATGACGTAATCTTTAAAAATAATAATAAATCTAATACTAATTAGGTGAGTGACATAAATTTCAAACCAGTTTAGTAAAAGAATATTTTAATGAGAAATGATAATAGAAATAGCCAGACATATTCCGAAAAACATTTAAAAGTATGGAGTCTGTCTCCTAATTTAGAAAAAGACTAACTGTGCACAGTACAGGCTAGAATCACAGAATAATTGAGTATCTATCTACACAGTGTAATATCAGTGATTAAGGCAAATGTTTTCCTATTTCCCCAATCAGAATGTAAATACCAAGATTTCTGTTTTGTTCTCTCCTGTGATTTCAGTGTCTGGCACAACGTTCACTCTTAGTGAGTTTGTTGAATGAAGCTGTCATTTAGCAAGTGTGCTGTGACTCTAACCTCCAGAGGTGCCGAGGATCTCATGGGAGAGGTACCTCTCTCACTTGCAAGTTCCTCCTCTATGACTCACATCTTACAAAAATATCTTCAACTTTGAAGATATTTCGAATTTGTGATTTACCATCCTTTTTCATTTTTCATAACAATGCTTTGATGCTGTTCCCACCAATGTCTGCATTGCTCAGTCTGTCATGTGACTGCCTTTACTTTAGGAGTCATGTAGTTTTATGAAGTTGCCTCTTTGAAGTGTTTCAAGTTGAGTGCATAAATTTAGGTACAAAAGCAAAATCAAGGATCAGTTTAGTTTGAGATTGTAAAAGGTCTGGGTTTCACTGCTGTTATCGTTTGGTTTATTTTAACTTACACACACAGAATGTACCATAGGCTCAATGCTGAAATGTCACACTTCTAATCTATAATAATCATTGCCAATGATGGTGTTGTAAATAAACCAATAGAGTATTTATGTTTTCCTGGGAGTGAACTTAAAACTAAAGCAACTTCAAAGATAGACAGATACTCCTGTTGCTTACACCATAAAGGAGAACCAATAAAGAAACAAACTCTCTTCCAATTACACATTTTCAAGTTCTTAAGATAAAAAAGTATCTGTATATGATTCTCACATAAACAAATGTTAACATTATATGAATTTGTGTTATGTATTATGTATGTGTATGTATAAAGACAGAAAGTTTAAATGCTTTATACATGCATGGATGGATATGTATATACAGTGAAAGAAAAAGAAACAAGAGAATATTTCTATGCATACTCATACATAAACAGAAGTCTATGTGCAAAATCGGGTATTCTAAACATCAGAAGCAGCTCAGTTCTGCAATTTATGATCTATTCACATTAACTCCCAGATTTAAAATCAAGTTCTTCACACTCCAGTTCACTGTAATAATACGTTATACTTCTCTTCCAAAAAGTCATATTTGCATAGAGAGAGTTCCAGTGTTTGTTTTTTAAAAAATAAGGCTAGGCTAGTTTTAAGTAATTTTAAAGTGCAAATGTCTGTGTCGTGTAAGAAGTTACTTGAATATTTTTTTCTTTAAAGAAATACAAGTGAATATAACTCCAGTAAGACAAAGACAAGAGCACTTTCTCCCAATGATCTTTCCCCATCATCAATGCCCAATAGCATCCCTAAACTCACTGTGGAGCCTTAGCTGTAAAGAGTGCTAAATCTGATTCCTCTGGAAGTTGCATGAAAGCCATAGTTCCAGGGTGGGCTGACATTGACCGCAAAACTTTTCCATAGGGTTGGCACTTAAGGAGAGAACAAGCTCATTTAAAATTTACAACCTTAGAAGGGAGTGCTCTTACTCCTAACCTGCAGAGAGAAATTGAGTAAGAGACAGTGGGAGTCATTAGCCTAAGGCCACTTACCAGGGTGTTTCCAGAATCAGGACTGGAAATTCACCCAGTCTAGTCTCTATGATCTCCTCATAACATTCTAATTCTCCAGTATAAAAGACCCTTATATATCAGTCATTTAACTCTGTATTGTCGATCATATTTGTGTCTTTTACAGACTATCTTATTTTATCATAATCACCTTAATGGAAATTAAGATTTGACCTCTTAATTCTAGACATTGGCTTTAGCTTTTTGGATATCCACACTTCTTCCAATCAAAAGTATATTGAAAATTGATTTCAAAATAGTACAATGATTCATAATGTAAGTAGTTAAGGCAATTCTTCTATGAACTAATAATCAACTAACGGAACTGTTACTTAAAGGTTTATTATAATTCTGAGAATAACTCTGAATTCCTAATCAAAATATTGAATAGTACGTGTGTGTGTGTGTGTGTGTGTGTGTGTGTGTGTGTGTGTGTGTGTGTATAAAACTAAAAACATAAATTAGAAAAAAAAACTCAAGCTACAAATTGGGTTACTTCAATTTTTAAGTGAAAGCACTTTCACAAGTCATAAAGGCTCAGAATTCCAAACAGATTGTGGGCACGCCATGTTCATCCGAGCTATGCCAACAATGCTAGTGGAATGAAGTGAACACATGATCAGACTTCTATGTTTTGTACCTCACACCCCTTCTAATCGTTGACCAGCTGGTCAGGATGATTTTAAATACTCTGCAGGATCAATTAAAAGAGTCTCACACTTTACCAACATAAGCTCAACAAAGAAGAGCAGTATGCTTTCCTGTTTAGAAACCCAAGAAAACTGAGACCCTATCTGCAGGAACATCACCATGGATGTGAGGAACAGCTCAGGTCAGGATCTCTGGGCAGCAGATTCAGCTTTGGGCGGAGTTAAGGCAAAGAACCCAGAGAGGAGAACTGGACAGAAGGGAAGGCTGCACTGGGATCTGAATACACACCAAGGCCCCACGGGAAGGGGCAGGAGGGGTGGGGGTGGGGTGTCCCTTTGATAGTCCTTGATGAAGCAAACCGGAGGTTTTGGGGTTTCTAATAGTGATGCTAATGAGAGAAAGACATTCTTAGAGCACTGTCCTTCCTTCAAGCAAAGGAACCTGTTTTGCTGAGGCAGTCTCATGCAGATTTCAACTAGGAAGGAAAGGAAGTCAAACCCTAGGCAAAGGGACAACAAAAACAGGATCCGTCCCGTGCCCTGTGTCAGCAGAAGACCATAGCTTTGAAAGCAGAATGCCATTAAGATCATAGTTCAGTACCACTAACTTCAGTCTATTGTAGCAAAAAAAAAAAAAAAAATGTGGGTTTCCTCTTCTGGAGGTCTGCCTTTGAGAGTGGCTTCCTGTCACTTCTGGAGAACGGACCTCTGTTCTTATTCTACACAACTTGGAAATGAGAGAGGAAGGCTGCCCATCTGCTGCAGGGGTGGCCAGACTAGGAGATGGACTGGTGTTCTCCAGATAGTAGGCATATGTGGAGGGTAAGCTGGGTCTGGGAGTTACCTCTGAGCTTGGAGAAGCATAAAATAAGCCCACACCATGAGAAGCCCTTTCTCTGGGCATTGCATTCTTTGACAACAATGGGACTTTTGCTCAAACTTGAGTTTCTGTTTGTATTAAAAAATATCACTCACCTCCTGCCATACATGCTAACTGCTCTACGTTCTGGTTTGTTTTTACATATTAAGTAAATAAACTCTTTGTTCACCCTGCTAGTGATATATAAGCCAGCCTGCTCATTATCTGGAAACTGTGGTATCTATAAACACTCATTACAGCGACGGCACTGCTTTAGTGATTTTTTTTTAATTAGCTATAATATCACAAAAAAATCTGCTACCATTCACATACAAGCAATATTTTGCCCCTTGTTGTCTTGAAATCACTACATATTGCAGATTAAGTCTTTAAGCCATCTATGTGTTTCCTAGTATGTGGTGTGGATGAAGGACAGTGCATCTGTACAAAAAGGCGAACAAATCCTCTCAAGATGGTTCTCCAACGCTCCAAGCTCTTTTCTAAATACTGAATTCCTTGATTTTATCATGTAATCAGCTTTTCATTTATGCTATGTTATCTCATTGGTATGCCTTTTCTTTCAAATGCTTTGCCTATTCTCAGAACAAATGTATTCCTTTCGGAAGGAAGCTAAGAGCAGGAGAGACAGGACAACTAAGAACACTGCTTGTTCTTCCTAAGGACCCAGGATTCACTCCTAGCACCCATGTGATGGCTTGTGATCATCTGTAAGTCCAGTTCCAAGATGTTTGAGACCCCCACTTCTGGCCCTCTGCAGATGCTGCACACACATGATGCTCAGACATCCATGCAGGCACAACATCCATATACATCATAAAAATAAATAAACATTTTTAAAATAAATTATTAAATTAGGAAATGTAAGAATTTTGCAATATGGCCAAGTGGAAAAAGGTGCTTTCTGTAAAACATGACAACCTGACCTTGATCTCTAGAAGTCACAGGGTAGAAGGAGTCAACACTGGATTTTGGTAAGTTGACCCCTGATCCACAAACAAATACACACACACACACAATAAATAAATAGTGAAAGGGAGGTTTTTTTTTGGTTGTTTTTTTTTTTAATAGCTAATAAAAAGTTAAGATCACTTGCTGGTTTTGTAGAGGATGTGGGTTTTGTTCTCAGTACCAACATAGTGGCTCACAACTATCTGTTACTCTAGTTAGTGGAGATCCACACCCCCTTTTCTGGCCTCTGCTGACACCAGGCATATATGTGTGTGTGTGTGTGTGTGTGTGTGTGTGTGTGTGTGTGTGTGTGTGTGTCACACACACACACACACACACACACACACACACACAGAGGCAAACATTCCTACACATAATGTCTTTTGAAAATCAGATAATGTAGTGGTCAGAAGAAAATAGATACTATATGGTAACAAATATTTTTCATCTACATATATATATAAATATTTTTCATCTACATATATATATTTATAAATAACTAAAGAAACAGCTTATGGCACTCTAAAACATAATTACAAAAGGGGCTATCATTTCACATACTTTACATTGGAGCAGTATTGTCTTTATTCATTTATATGTTATGATGTAAGCCTCACAAAAATTTCTTCAATATTGATTGGTTACCTCCTTATGCTTACAGTGGGGAGGACAAATTGCCAAGTTCCAGACTAGTACAGAAGTACCTGTTAGTGGCCCCAAATCTGAATCACAATAGTAAGTATATACAACTACTGGAAATCTCAGGCAATAACAATGAGGGTTCAAAAAGCTGTAAGATTCTAATTTTTCTAGAAAGTCAGTACTTAAATGTGTTCCTTCCTTCACATTTTCGTACATGAGTAAATCTTCTTTGTTACCTTGGTATATAAAGAAACCATACATGAAATCTTTCTGGTTTCTCACAACTATGTTTTTTTTTTTTAAAGGAGGTTGTTGTTCCAACAGGATCTCATGCAGCCCATAATGTTTATAAGCCCATAACATAGCCAGGGCTGGTTTTGAACACCAGATCCTTTTAACCCTACCTCCTAGGCGCTAGGCTTACAGGCATACACCACCACATATGCCTCACAAAGGACTCCAAACTCAAACTCCTTGTAATCAGGCTTCTCTCAACATTCCACCAAGACTCTCATTTGAATATCTAAGCAATCTAAAGGAAAAAAAAAGATAAATTAGCAGGCTGTAACTTTGAACTCAAAGTCTACATTACATTGCTGAATTCTACTTAGGATTAAAAATTGCACAGCCTATCTACATTTGCATAAGTTAATAAAAGGAGAATAATAATGAAATGTTTAAGAACTTTTTTCTTGATGAATGTAATGAGGAGTACAGGGCTTTGCATATTCTTTTGTATGTAGCTCTGTACAATAATTCTAAATATTCCTGAGTAGCTCAAGGGAAAAGAGCATGTCCATGAGAGAACATAAATTATAATAATATTGTGTATCACCTTTATCTAAGATAAAGACGGGAACCAGATATTCAGAGCTACTATTGGACCTGTTGGACACCTTCTTCTCAATTCCCTAACCAAGATGCTCTCTCAGTGTAAATCCAGTAGCATGTTATAAGAACTTAACTTTGGAAATGAAACAAGTCTGGCATAAAATAAAGTCTTCATTCCTCTCCTAGGCTTGTATAGCAAGCAAACTACACGTATGTTTCACAAACCTGTATGCACATAATAGCAACACATACAGACAAGTTGTTGAGAAATGCCATGTGATTATGTATTCTACTTATTGCTTTCAAAATGTTCTGCTATGAGAAAGCTCAAACAAAACCAAAAACCATTAGAAGGATACAAACACTAAAAAGCAATGTTATTCTCTAAGCTTACAAATCTCTTCTTCTGGTTTCATTTAAGAGAGTAGAGTTAATTTACCAATATCACTTCATCATCCTCTGGAGTTACACTCTGCACAGACCAAAAACTACCTACAGGAAGCCTCCAAAAGTAATCAATTGCTTCCTTCTTACATATATTCTCTAGACAAAATAAAAACAATGCTTCAATTTCTAAAGGTGATTCTCTCAAGCATTCCTACTTGATAATTACTAAAGTGCACTAAGACTCTAGGTATAATCCAAATTTGACGTGAACACTTTTATTTGATATGTGATCAATTAACTCACAAACATCAACTGTTCTCCAGAGTGCGAAAAAGATGTACTGCCAGTTTTTGCTTCTCTATACATAACCAGAATGCCCTTTTTGCTCTTTAAAGACACTAATAATTCACATTTGAATCCACTTTGGATCTCATCACATGAACGCCATAGGGCTTAAGGAATAGCCCTGGTCAAATTAAGCCCGTGGGATGAAGTATTCTACACCCATTCTCTTCTTTTTTTTCCTTGAAATGTCACAGGAACTGTGAAATAAACCCTTACACTATCCTCACTGCACAAAGAAGAAACTGGGTCAAAGTAAGACAGGCAAAGCATCGAGCCACAAGGTCATGTGACTTTAAGTAAAAGACTGTGGTTCAAGCCAAGACAGGCACCCTCTTAACCATTGAGCTGCTTAGAATTACTTAACCAAGTCCTTCATTTCTCATTAGGGTCCCTTATGCATTTCCCATTACGTTTCCCAGGAAACATATTTTCTGCATGAGCCTAGACCTCCAGGAAGTTAAAGGAACTAAATACACATCTGACTATTTAGATGCAAGAGTTAAGTGGGGACGTTTTTATCTGTGTACTGACAGTAATATCAACCATCTGCAATCTTGTTCTGTGCACACCGTTAGCTAAATGCTTGGGTCTAACAAAAACATGGATCATGCCTGCCATCATATTAACCTTTGCCAAGTTTCAGTAAACTCACATTTATTCTCAGTTCAAGAGACAGACCCTGAGAAAACATCTTTTTCTGTGCACAATCTTTGTAGAGTTCACCTACATCAGTGGGTCTCAACCCATGGGTCGCAACCCCTTCAGGAGTCACATATCAGATATTCTGTGTATGAGATATTTACATTTGGATTCATAACAGTAGCAGAGAATCACTGACCTAGACGAAGGCCAATTTCCTTTCCATATCTTACACTGAGTTATGAAAGAAACCCCCACACGTGTGTGTGTGTGTGTGTGTGTGTGTGTGTGTGTGTGTGTGTGTGTGTGTGTGTCTGCCTGTCTGTCTGTCTGTCTGTCTGTCTGTCTTTTTCCTGAGGATTGAATTTGGAACATAATCCATGCTTGGTAAATGCTTTATCATTGAGTTGTATCTTCACTCTACTATTAGTTAATAATTAATTTTTTTTTTGCCTGTGCATGTTGTATGTGATGTGCATGTAGCTGTGTAGCTGTGTGTAGGCACTATGGACATACATGTGCAGGTGCCTGTGGAGGCCTGAGTTTGACCTTGGGGGTGTTCCTCAGTAAGTGTCCCTTGCTGAATACAGAGCTTTCCAATTCAGCTAGTTTTGCTACCTTATGGAACCCTGTGTCTGCAGATTACCTGTGGGATGAAAGGTAACTGTACACCCACTAAGTTTTTATGTGGGTTCTATGATGCAAACTCTGGTCCTCATGTTATGTGGCCATTGGGCTGGTCTGAATGAGAAATATACCCGGTAGTTTTGAATGTAAACACTTGGTTCCTAGTTAGCAGTGTTGTTTGGAGAGGCTTAAATTAAGCCTTGTTGGAGGAAGTGAATCACTGGAGGTGACTTTTAAGAATAAAATCCTCATGCCACTTCCAGTTTTTCCCCTCTGCTTCCTTCTTAAGGTTGAGGAGGGGAGCTCTTAGCTTCCTCTCCTGCTGCCTTGCCTGCTCTTCCCTGCCACGCTTCCCTGCTGAGATAAACTCAGCCCTCTGAAACTATAAGCCAAATTAAACTCTTTCTTCCATAAATTGCTTTTAGTCATGGTATTTTATCACAGAACAGAAAAGTAACTAATATACAAGCGCTTCCTTGCTAATCCATCTCCCAAGCCCTCTCTTTACTTTTTTTATTTTATTGAGACAGGGTCTCATAAGCAAGCTCAGGCCGGGCTGATCCTCACTCTGTAGTTCAGGTAGAACTTGATTATATAATCCTCCTGTCTCAGAACCTGGAGCAATGAGGTGTAGGCCTGTACCACCAAGCACTGCTTGAGTGTCACATTTAATAAGGTGTCAGCTATCGGTCTGGTATTGCAGGCTCAAGAAACTTACTCTAAAAACCTATGTTCTGAGAATACAGGGCTTACTTTGGAAAAGAAAATATTTTAACACTTGGGAGGTAGTTAGATGATAACCAAGAATGGCTGATTTCAATACAAGACACAATGAGCACATTTAAAGCCAGCACTGAAACACAAAACAGAAAGGGTAGGACGACAACTTGAGAAACAGTGACTCAAAAGAATATTTGCATGAAAAGTCAAATCACAAATGTGAATGACATAGAATGCAAAGAAATCACTGAACGGCACGGCCTAAGTCACTCACAACTGAGGCCCCTGATACTTCTAAGCTCAGGAAGCCAGGAAATGATCATAAGTCCAGAAAGATGATTGGCATCAGGGATCTGTATCGGTCACTTTGTTCAATTGTCACCAAATACTTGGCAGAAACAAAGGAGGAATTGTTTCTTCAGCTGAAGGTTTCCGAGGGTTGATAGTTGCTTGGCTCCCTGTGCCTGGCCTAGAAGTGCTGAAAGGAGTCGAAGTCTGTGTTTCACTTCTGGGCAGAATACTTGGCCAGAGAAAGCTACAGGCCCAGACATGGCTCCTGGTGCCCAGAAACCCAAATCCTCCAAGAAGGCTCTACCTGTCGTCTTTCTCCATTTCCCAACAAGGACATTATTTCACAAAGCAACCAAGGGTTAATCCATTAGTCATTTCAAGTACTGAGGAGCTCACCATTGGGGGATGCCATTGTGGACACACTCAGGGGTTGGCTTCACTAAACTCATGGATATCCCTTAATCCAATCACATTGGCAATAAAAACCATCCATCACCAGACCCAACTGCTGGAACAGAGGTATCAGAAAGATTCCTTTAGGAAACACTTTAACTAAAAATAGATACAAGATATATCAGTATAGGGATTTTTAGAGCATGGAGTAATCATATGCCCAAGAGTAGAGGGCTAGGTAACTACTTAGAAATCCTCATAAAGTTCCCCCAACAGGTAACTGCACACACATCAATGTCACTTTTCTTTACTAATAAAAAAAAAATGAGAAAGGATATAGGCTCAAATACAAAGCTTGTTAATCCTTACTAGGTTGGAAACTGACATATATGTTCAATTCTACTTAGCACAGCAACCTGTCCTTTTTCATATGAAAGATACTGCATAGGTAGACATAGAACCCTGCAGTCACAAACACATGGTCTACTTTGGTTTCCTTTTAACCATATTATCAACTGTGGAAGGCACCAGTCAGAGCAGCACCAAGGCTCCTTCCACTTCCACATGCATATAATAGGAGTGTAGGGCAGAGTCCCTATTGTGCAATCATAAGAGAATACCTAGTAGAGACATAATTATTGCAACACAGGAATGAATTTGATGATCACATGTACTGGCCTGGAACCAAATAAATATGTTTGCTAGAACATGGGAGGCTAAAAGTGAATCAGACAGCCTTGAAGGGAGCATGCATTATTGCTCCTGCTTATACACTCTGTAATTACACAACATAATTACCTTTTCACATGTATGAATACAGAGAGAAGAATGGGGAGGGGGAGGCTGACACACATCTGTAGTAGAAATTTTACTTGTTCCTATTATAAAAGCATTTGTGGCAAAGGAGTCCAACCAAGACCAAAATGTCAAAAAAAGTATCTCTGAAAAGCAGTGATAGAATCTAGAACTGAAGAAGCTACAGAGAAGAGGGGAGGATGAATTACATGACAACATGGTAACCATACATACATGCACACTATGGTAATCATACTTAATGTAATAGGATGCTACTTCATCCTTAATATAGCCTGTACCATCACCCCATAAATGTTCATTGTCCCCAAATCAACACCATCTTTCTCTGCACTGTGGAGCCTAGATGAAAGTGGTAACATTTACCTATAAACATTCAAAACTTATGTACTTTATATCACTGCAAGAATTAATCAAAGCTTTCAGCTCGTGAATGGAATATTTTGTTTATCTATATCACGAAAAGAGCCAATCCATAAATTAATAGAGTAGGATGATGATGAACATCATTTGGATGAAGCAATCATAAAAATAAACTTAGCTCCATTTGTGATATCACAATTTTATACACATCTATCAAGCAACCTCTGAACATCCACTTACTCAACTATACATGGAAGACTCTAGGATGAAAAAAACTAACCTCCTAGAGTCTTTCAGGAAATGTATATAAATACTCAGAAGGTCTGCATCAACATTCCAGGTACTGTAGAGATTTAACACACAGGAAAACGATTTTCTGTAGTTTAAGTATCCTGATGGGGTGAAACTCATTACCTCAAGTAGAGTTTGGAATGATGAAACACATCACAGTAGTAAATAGTCCTATCAAGACTTCAACTGAACAAAATAAAATCAAAGGCCTATATGGTGGCATCTTCCTGTAATCCCAGAATTTGGGAAAGAGGATGTGGAATTTAAGCCCACCAAGGGTTACATAATGGGTTGGATTCAGAGTTCTGTGTGGAGACAAATCTTGTCTTAGAAATGAAAATGAAATCAGGAAATATAAGGTGTGAATGAGGCTGTAAGAATATGAAAAGAAATACCCAAAAAGTGGTATTGTAAAATGCGAGACACTACTTCAGTTGGCTCACAAGAATTTATGATCAAATACCAATGATACTAAAGATATTAATGAAGGCAAGCCATTGTTTGTTTCAGAAAAAATGTAAAAGTCTAATGATAAACTAGCCTGCCTCCATTTTGTGCTTGAAAGCCATCTTATAGAAAAGACTAACTAGGTTCATTCCTGTTTATGACTAAATTTGTTTCTCAAAGATTGGGCTGTTCCCCAGCTGTAACCTTAACTATAAATGGTCTTATACAGTCTGTTCCAGGAAAAGACAACCATACCTTTGTTTCAAAAAGTTGTTATGACCTCTTTGCAACCATACCTTTGTTCCTAGGTGTTGACATGGCCAACTTGTTATGCTTATATTGGGCTTCGGTAACCCCGCCTATTTCCCTACCAAATCCTCCATTTGGAAAACTCCTACTCCTAAGCTATAAAATCCCTTATCTTTACCATGTCTACTGCTGACCTCTTGAAGCCCACCTCAGGCAGAGACAGCCTGTATGCACAAATAAAAAAACTTGTTTTATTTCATTTTGCTGTCAGTGGCCTTTCTCTGAACATCTGTGGGATCAACCCTAGATAAAGAAAAGGCCAGGTTGAGGCAAAGTGAATTTGTTCTGTGACTGTTGGTCTGATACCATCACTGATAGCATTAGTTCTGTTCATATAGATCTGATACTATTCATCAACTCTGGTGATGAAGGTGGGGTACACTGTTCACAAGGATATGAAACTGAAGGTTCGAAATTCAAAGGCCATGAGAAAAAAAGTATCAAGTAGAGATAAAACTCCAATGTTCCTAAAAGCTGCCCATGATAATAAGGAATTAATCATATTAAACTGAGAAATATACAAATGAGAGGTACACAAATATGCTTTCATAAATATCAGCACTGCATCCCTAAAGGCTATGATATTAAAATCACAGGATCGATATGGGTATTATAAGTAAGAAATGCTTTTAAATTTAAGTAAAATAGTACTGTTATCTGTAATGCAAAATGTTCAACAAATCCTTGTCACTGTTCTTCATCTGATTTCAAAATCAGAATCAAACATATTTGCAAGGTATTTAAAATGACAAGTACTCCAAACTGAAACCATCTAAATCCAGTTTAACTGAATAAATGTCTTTTGATATAAATCTCACAAAATTTATAGTGAAATTTGTCCTTAGATCCACCATAACTCTCACTGAATAACAATAAAGCTTTTGAATCTTGAAGTTAGTTATGGCTTGAAGTTAGTTATGGCTTGTCTCTTTTCTGTTTTGTGTTTGAAAAATTGCAGTATTTATAGGAAGATAAGATATAACAGACCTGTGTATTGTTCCAAAACCAGCTATTGGAATAAAATGAAAATATTCACATAAAACAAATATAACACATGATCAGTACTGCCATGTCCATGTTTGAATATGTGTGGGAAAAAGAATAAGATGTTGGATGTTTTATACGTTAACTTTATTTGAATATCTTAAAAGCCTTCCTTAAATCAGATAATACCCTTAAGTCCTTTAGCACACAGTGGTATTATGTAGTACTAAGCACTATAACTGTTTATGATAAAGTAACTTGGTTTCAGTTGCTTTAAAAGATAATCATGACTCAATTTTTAAGCAAAATTAAATACCAAGTACTGAAATATTCTTGGATCACGAGTTCCTGTAAATCATATCTAACAGTCAAAAACAAATAGAATACTGTATTTGCATAGAACAGTAAGTATGGAGTGAGATTAGGAAAAATTACCTCAGTGGCTGGTAAACAGGCCATGCTGCATAAAGCCAAGTCTAAGTGGCTTTACTTGAGAAAACTACATGACTTCATTCATTTGAAGCTGACTGGACTTGGCAAGAAAGGGGACAGAGAGTGCACTAGATTTAGAACAAAACGGTTTTGTATCTAACTCCTTCAGCTTCTGTTTAAAATGCTATGGAGTTTACATTATGGTTCCCAGACACATTCCATTAAACGTAATTTAGGACAAAAATGAATTCAAATTGAAAAATGCTGCATCGCAGTGACTGACTTGCACAAGGGTGTCTTACATCCCCACTCTCTTCTGGCCATAACAATGACGACGACAAAAAAATTCCATGTTTAGGAAATCAAAACTATAATCCATGATCACTGTATTTTTTCTTGAACTTTTAAATATAAATAAGTGAAAGAATACAGATGTTTACCCATTTAACAAATATTAGCACAAATTGTTTTAAATGTTTTTTTTGCATTTTAGTTATTTGGGAGGGCAAGTGAACATGCCATGGCACAGATGTGAAGGTCGGAGAACTTTACAGCTAGCAGGAGTTGGTAGTCTCCTTGCATTATGTGGAACCCTTGGGATCTCACACTGACCATATCCTTAGTCTGGGTGGCAAGTACTTTTAGCTGCTGAGCAATCTGTAGACCCCAAACAAATTCTTTAGGTTTGTTTCCTCTCTTCAACCCCTTTGCTTTCAGGTTTCTACTGATGATATTTTCATCCACCTCCTTTGCATTGCTGACATTATCACCCACCCACATTTCAAGTCACCAATGTAGGACAGCTTTAAACTCTCACCCCGTGACTAGTTACTAGCCTTTAATTTTCATGCCTGCCTGCTCCCATCATCACTCTCCTATCAGTCATAGACCCTAAATGCTCGTAAGCTCCTGACCCTCTCCAACCTAGAATCTTGTCATGATTTCATTCCCCAGCTTATCCTGGCCTATTTTCACTTTATCTTAAATTTAATTTTTTATTTGCCGGGCAGCATGGAGCATGCTTTGCATCCCAACACTTGGGAGGCAGAGTCAGGTGGATCTCTGTGAGTTTGAGGCCAGCCTGGTCTACAAAGCGAGCTCCAGGACAGGCACCAAAACTACACAGAGAAACCCTGAATAAAAAAAAAATTAATTTTATAATATAATAAAAATATATTTATTTTATGGAGTTATATATTTGGTTTATGTTTGTGCATTTTGAGACAGGTTTTCACTATGTAGTGCTGGCTGCACTGGAACTTGCTATGTGGACTGACTGGCCTGAAGTATTCAAAGATTCTTCTGCCTCTGCCTCAGGAATATTAGAATTAAAGGCATGTGTACTGTGCCTGACTCTATACCAGCTTGTTTTTAAGGTTAAAATCCATCAATTTTGTCTCTTTTATCCAGGACTCTTCACACTTCATCTGGACTCATCTTCTTTTATCACAACATTAATCACTACTCCTTCAAAATTCTAAAACCACACTGTACATTTGTCACATGCTTTTTAATAGATTGATTTATGCTTTGAGGTTCAACTTATATATAACTCTCCCATACTAAGTAACTGACTTTTCCATGCATTTCCAAAATATTTACATTTAAACTAACATAGTTATCCATGAAACATTTTGTTTTTTAAAAGCTGGAGCTCAGTTTGGAGCACAGGGTGGTTAGGGGAATTATCTTTTAGGTGACTTTCTAGGTAGCTCTGTGGATCCACTACAACGAAATGTGTAGGTAAGATAAGCAGCTGCTCAAATTAAAATTAACTTAATACAATCGTATTGAATTGATTGAAATTTTATATTTCAAATATTTGACAATTTTGATAAAAAAATTTTTTTTGGAATTTAACTGTTACTTTAATTGACACAATTACTCATAATTTTTATAAGGTAATACAAAATATCAATTACTCATAATCTTCACTGGGTAATACAATTTAGACAAGAATATTAAGGGCTACATCTCGAGTCATGCTAGCTAATTAAAAGGTGTGATTCCACTGAACAATTAATGCCGAAACTCAGAAATCCTGATTCTAACTGGAGATGCTTGACATACAAAGAAGGCTTTAGATTACCTCCATTAGAATAAAAAGGCTTGAAATGGGGACAGCGTTGATTTTTGTTGAACATCTACAATGGAAAAATGAAGTACTAATTCAAACATGTGAATCTAATCACTAGAGAAACTGATTCTTATTATGGAGTCATCTAACCAGAAGAAAGAAATGGTAGAATTTAAGAAGGCAATTCGAGGAGGTGAGAGAACAGAACTCTAAAAATATGTCTGGAAAAGCCATCTACATAAAGATTTTACGAAGACATGAAAAGACGGTCTTGACATAATGTCGTAACTTCTAAAGAAGAGTTCTGGAGTGTCCAGCATCAGCAGGCATGCACTGTGGTAAGTAGTGACCACCAAACAGATAAAGGCACTTTCTGTAATGTGGTAAAATATGGAGATAATGAAGACAATTAGAATATGAAGATGAGCTTCATAATTACTTTTTAAAAGTTTATCCTGTAGCAATGGGTAAGAGAAATATGGAAGGTTAGTTTTTAGTAGTGCAACACACCAAATGGTTATGATATTTAAAGAATTTAATATGTAACAGAAAACACAGACACAGGTTAAAAATAAGAGACAAATACAGAGACAATCAATATAATGCTTACCTCATTCAGGTAACAAACGAAAGAGGGTAACACTATAATATGAATCTTAATAGGAGGATTCTATTATGATCACCTAAGAAAGATATGGGGTATAGATATATTTGTATGGAGACAGTCATGTTCTTCTCTGGAAGTTTTAGGTACAGTCATTGGCCAGGCATTTGGAGGTAGGTACTGAAGGTTGGAAAAGAGAAGGTTATAGATTCCTCATTAAAAACTATCTACGCTGGGCGGTGGCAGCGCATGCCTTTAATCCCAGCACTCGGGAGGCAGAGGGAGACAGATCTTTGTGAGTTTGAGGCCAGGCTGGTCTACAAAGCAAGATTCAGGAAAGGAACAAAGTTACACAGAGAAACCCTGTCTCGGAAAAAAAAAATAATAAGAATTATCTACTAAGAGGTTTAAAAAACGTGTGCCAGAACACATCATTTGAAAAAATAGACAAAATAAGAAGAAATAGAAGATAAGAGAATTTTAGCATTAATCTATCATCGTTTAGAGAAAAATGAACTAATTACTGGTGCTGCCAGTTAATATTTGGCCAGTGTTGTACAAATAATTTAACTCCTCTAATTCCTCCAATATTGCGCATGTCAGTGGCATAACAGTTAAAAAATGAACACATAACTTACTAAATATTACCAGGGTGGTTCAAATAAGAATGGCCCCCATAAGCTCATATATTATAATGCTTCATTGCTAGGGAGCACCACTATTAGGAGGTGTGGCTTTGTTGAAATAGGTTTGGCCTTGTGGGAGGAATGTGTCAGTGGGGGTGGGCTTTGGGGTTCCAAATGCTCAAGCCAGGCCCAGTGTCATGTTCTCTTCCTGCTGCCTACAGATCCAGATGTAGAACTCTCAGCTTCCTCTCCAGCTCCATATCTGCCTTCATGCTGCCATGTTTTCTGCCATGATGGTGATGGACTAAACCTCACAACCTGTAACCTATCCGCAATAAAATGTTTTCTTTTATAAGAGTTGTCATGGTCATTATGTGTCTTCACAGCAACAGAACACTGACCAAGATTAGCTCTCAGTAGGTTAAATGTAACCCTGTCATTACTAATGCTGTGGTGTTGTTGATTATAATCACTGTGCTTTCCAATACTACTAGGAAATTAGAGAAGTTCTAGATGCATGAGAATTGAGGAAGATGAAACAAAACAGAAACCACACAAAAACAAGAACACCATAAGCCAGCTATGAACTGGGGTTTGTCGTGTGTGTTCTAATTTCAACTCTTTTCAAATAACAACTCACCTTCTCCTAATCACTTATAAAATTATCCTAATCATGCCCATAAGCAAAAGCTGAAAGGCATCTATGCCGTGGCTCAGATGTCTGAGAAGTCACTGCAGGCAACAGATGGTGATTTAAATATAGCAGCCTTGAGTCACCTGTGATATGACTTGAGGTTCCCAATTACTTCATCCTTCTCCTAAACTTTGTCATAATTTGTAAACTGAATTGTGGAGCCAAGCGTTTCTTAATGGAGAGCCATGAACTGTGTAGTAAGCAAGGAGCGGACAGATGCATCATTAATGGTATTAACTGAAAGTGTAATGATTCTATTACATGTGAGCTATGTACACAGATGTAACCTCCATGTTGTGTGTCAATGTGTCTGCACATGTAAAGGAAATGGAAATGGAAAGAAAAGGCTCGGTGATACAGAACGAGCATAAGAAAAAGAGAAAAATATTTCTCTGACATTTCTATGTCGAAGGGTCTCAAAATAAATAGGAAAGCTATTTAAAAATTCAGCCAAGTTGATATTTATATCTGTTTCCCTAGCAAGAAAAATGTCACCTCTGATTTATAAAACAATCACTCTCAAGCATTACTGGAGAGCAGATCTTGAAAGAACAATAAGTTGGGAGTTGGGCTGCTCTTATCAAATACTGTCTCTCAAGCCACTGAGGTCTAAGTGTGAGGATCTGTGGTTTAACAGAGCTCAGGCAAATGGACAGAAATGGCCTCTTATTAGGTGCACTCCAAATCATGAAGTTTTAATTTAAGAAAATACTAAAACAGAATGGTGTTTCCATGAGTGCTTTGATTTTGCTAAATAAATTGTTTTGCTCACTAACTAACTCTCTCAAGAGATTTTTGCCTCTTCATATCAGCACTGGTGAAGAGTGGAGTGGCCTTAATAATTTCACCAATATAAGAGTAACACACCACGTTTAGAGTCAATATTACATAGCATATTTACCATGATTTTGCCAAAATCTATGTGTGTCTTCACTTGCTGATGCACTAATTCATTCACATGATATTTTCCCATGCACAATCTGGCACGTCGGGACATAGTCAAAAACAGGAAAGTTACCAATGGGCTGTAGGCTCCGTAACCTGAGTAATATAGTGTTGGTTATAAGCATTCCAAGAAGTACAAAAAAGCTACTGACCCTAATGAGTTTCACCAGTAGCTAACACAAACCAGGGGCATATTCCTAAGGGAGTCACCTATAAAATTCTTTTAATAAGGTCAACAATTACCTTTGGTTTGATTTCAAAATGTAGATATGTCTGTCATTAGAATTTGGAGAAATGTGTCACTAATGCCCTGAGAAGAATGAGCTCTGATTTGCACAATGAAGAGGAACAGTGTCATAAGAGGAAGAAGAAGAGATATGAGCATAGGTTAAGCACGGAACACGCTTGCTCAAGGTGGGATGCATACAGGGCAGACTTGTGCTCAAGAGTGTTCTTTGGGGTAATCTGACCCCTCAGTTTTCCTTTGTATACGCCCTGGGGATGGAAATGCTTCAAAGTTTGTATACAAATGGCAAGACAAAGGACATTTTTGCTAAGAAGACTCTGAGGCCAGTATGTAAGGAAAATGGGACATGAGAGAAAGTTTACATCAATTAGAATGTTACAACTTTAATGAAAACTAGCGCAGCAGTAACAGTAAGAAAGCACACACAAAACTGGTAAGATCGTGTAGACATGTGGAATACGTAGAGAAAATTGAAGTACAAATTTCCATCACTCCCAGCAATCTGATTCAGTATCTATCTGTCTTACTCCCAGTGACAGGGTCAATGACAGGTTGACATTGAGTGAACTCATACCACAAAATTCACAGAATATTTTCAAACTCTAGTAGATACTATAAACCACTTTTTCAAATAATTCATTATGTTTCTATGATACATAAGGGAGAATGCTCAATTTTTTTTCTTAGCCTTTTTTGTTTGTTTGTTTGTTTGTTTTTGTTTTGTTTTTGAGACTAGGTCTAACGTAAATCAGACTTGCAATGAACTTGCTGTGGTAGGCAGATTACCTTCAACTCACCATTTTTATCCCTCCTAAGTTACATGAATGTGCCACCACATTTAGCCTCCACCTTTTAAATCTCTCACTAAATTCAGTACTAACAGTATACTTTTGGTTTTGGTGAAGTGTGCACCATTGACTGCTCCTTTCACTGGGAACATGATTCTTCTAAATTCACAAGCAGAAATATTGTTTTTTATAAAAGGAAAATGATACATACAATAACATTATAAAGAGCAAGCAGGTTATATTTAGGAATGTATATTTTATGCAGAGTAGAATGTACTGCCAGGGGATGTGAGAAGAAGCAAGGTCCCAGACAAACAGCTGATGCACTGGTCTAGGTAATGGTTAACATTTGTGAGCATGCATTTAAGGGATGATGAGACACTGTGGGATGTTCTGTATGCTGTAAATGTATTGCTCTGATCGGCTGATAAATAAATTGCTGATTGGCCAGTAGCCAGGCTGGAAGTATAGGCGGGATAAGTAGACAAGGTGAATTCTGGGAAGAGGAAGGCTGAGTCAGGAGTCGGACACAGAAAAAGCAAGATGTGAAGGCAGAACTGAGAAAAGGTACCAAGCAACGTGGCTAAACATTAATAAGAATTATGGGTTAATTTAAGATATAAGGGCTAGTCAGTGATAAGCCTGAAATAATGGCCATACAGTTCATAAATAATATAAGCCTCTGTGTGTTTACTTTGGGGATGCAAGGGGGAGAGATTTGTCCTGACCACCACCCAGCCGGGACATAGGAAAACTTCTGACTGCAATGAAAAATTACCACGTTTAAGGTGTATTTTTAAAATGTGAGATAAAATAAGGAAAATATAATGAAGAAAAATTGACTTGCTCAGTCTATACATGGAAACTTAGAGCAAATTTTCCATCTCCACACTGATGACAGGAGCACTTATAAAAAATATACTGATATGAAAACTTCGAGACATTTAAAATGAATCCATAAGTACCTGGTGGGTGGCGAAGCTGAAGGGAAGGATCAGAAAGAAACCATTACTTTCCACTGGCTAAACTTGCTTTTATTTTATTTTTTTTAATAGTCATGATCATGAAATCCTTTGGAAAAAGACAAATTCTTTAGTCATGTAAAATAGTAAAATGAATGGTAGTGACAAAGAATCATTGTTAATTTTAGAAGCTATTTTTTCCCACAAAGTAACAGTTCCACTTGCACAAAAGATACCGAATTTGAATGGCTGTATCACATGAAAGCTAACAAAAATATCATCTTTTTATATGACAATATATGTTATTTGTAAGGTGGTTCCTACAGACAAAGCAGAGCAGGATTATTTCAACATTCAAAAATGTTCATTACCCTAATTTTACTTCAATATTTTCTTCTAAAGATGGAATTATAAAATTTACATTCTGCAAATCAATCTCTAAAATGTTCCTCTCACAGAACTTGAGTGATATTTTTACATTTTGTTATCCAAGCTGGCATATGAATCAGTTTTCTTTTATAGATGTAAATTAAAACATGTACAAAGTCCATTTTAGTTACAAAAAGAAAGTGGTGACCTGTAATTCCTCAATCTCATGAACCTTAATTGTTACATGTTTTACTAGTTAAACCAAGCTGAGTATGTTTTAAAATTAACTCTAAAAACAAAAACAAACAAACAAACAAACATAAAACCCTGGCATCTCTGAAGAACTTTAGTTATTTCTGAAATTATTCAATAAATAAAAAGCTAAAGATATACTAAGTATGGTTGCTAAAATATTTCTTTCTGCTTGACTTAAAATTATTAATTCTCAAAATTGAGAAGCGTTTTAAAATAGTCAGCATTATACACGGCGCTCATTAGGCATGCATTGACAATAATAGAGGAAGCCACTAATATTATGCTGCTGAATGGACAGAGTTTTAAACCAACTCCTAATGGCTTATCATTATACCCATAGATCAATGCATCTTTCAAACCTCATCTGAGAAGGCTCTATTTGCAGAAGACAGCAATTAACACAGCGACCCACAGCTGGCCAAGGTGTAGAGGGTAAGAGACTACAGAATATTCATCCCTAAATGGAAAACATCTTTTTCACCACATCTCCACTCCCAAACCACAGATGTCACTGCAGAGAAGGAGGCAGACAGAATACAAGAGCCAAAGGCTCTTGATGACTACAGAGCATCTTCTAGACATAGCAGGCAGCTGCACATAAGAAGTCACAGCTGTACAGATAGTATGCATTGAACCTGTGCAAGTCCAAGTCAAACCAAATCCCAGTCTGAGAGTAGAACTGGACACACAATCCCAACAGTAGCTGTCAAGATATTGGCAACTCTTCTTAACTGCTGGGGAAAGGAAAGACAAATTCCTCAGAAAGTGTAGGTTTCCATAAGTAAATCACTCTCCAGTGGAAGGGCATTTATCCATGGATATTTGAGGAACAGAAATAGGTCTTAAAGGAATAAAAAATAATATGGACACAAAGTTAGGTGGATAGTTAGTGGGGAGTAGATCTGGGAAGAGGTAGAGTGGGAACAAATATTATCAAAACACATCATGAAACTGTCAAAAAACTAACAAAAGTGTAATGAATAAAAATGACAATGGAAGTCATTTGCTCCGTATCTATTTCCTATTCTGACTCCAAAATAAAACAGTGATTTCATATTCATCATTTCATAGTCAAGTATCACATATTTTGATTTGTTTCAAAGCACACATGAAATTTGCAACATGGCTTCCATCTCTACAGGAACTGCTGTGTCAAAATATACTAGAGTATCAAAGCTCTAGAAAAATTTAATGGGAAGGTTATTTGAATTCACATTAGATGAAATCAAACTCAATGAATACAGAGTTTGCTGACTTCTTCCTGAGACAATTGCAAACCTCAAGACCAGAATACAAGAGACCAATGATTAGGGAAGCATATCTTCCAGGGGCCCCTAATCAATTCATTCATTCAGCAAATATCTTCCTATTACCTAATGTGAGCGAGGCATTGATCTATGAACCTGAAGAACAACAACAACAACACACATCAAATTCTTGCCCAGAACAGGATTACATTCCAGATAAGGAAACAGAATCAGAAAATCAAAAGGCTGGCATTAAGTAGGAGGCAGAAATTTAATAAAAGTAGAGTTATTTGAAACAAGGTAGAGGATACAATTATTAGAAACTGATGGGAAAATTGCTAAAGAGTAGTTGATGTGAACAACTGAAAACCATTTCTAAAGTGTCTGAAAGGAAGTGATATTTACTGATGTAAAGAAGAATAGAAAAATAGAGCACTAGAAGGGGCAGCCAATAACTCAATATTTTAAAAATACTGAGGAATTTCTATGAGCTATCAGAGAGAGCTATCAAGCCGATTTATGAGTCTGGAGTATCTATGAAATTTATACATATAAATTTAGGGTCTGCAACATAGAGTTGGTCCTTATAAGACAAGGTCTTTTTTTTTTTTAATTTGTGGTTTTTCAAGCAGGGTTTCTCTACGTAACAGCCCTGACTGTCCTCGAGCTCGCTTTGTAGACCAGGCTGGCCTTGCACTCAGAGATCCATCTGCCTCTGCCTTCCAAGCGATATGATTAAAAACATGCTCCACCATGCCCAGCTAGAGGTCAATGATAATACAAGCCTCAAACTAAAAGGGTGAGCCATGAAGAACTTCAACACTCAGGGATCAAGCGAAGAAGGAAAAGTAAATAAATATAGTTCATTTCAACACATTTCCTTAAAGGTTTTGAGTAATCGTTCAGATTTAGTAATATAAATATTAAAGCTTAATGTAGAAGAGAGGTGGCTAGGTAGATGGAAAGACACCTTTGTCATGCTGTGACAAAAAGAAGAAAACTATTATAATGAGGAACTTGGTACGCTGATTTAAGATTAAGAGAGAAACTTAGTTTTTTATTCATTTGGGTGCTTTCTTGATTTAAGAAGTTCAAGTCTGGCTGGGATGCAGTTTAGTTGGGGAGTTTGGATTTAGCATATGTGGGGCTCTGAGTCAATCCCTTTGCACAATAAAGACAAATGAAAGGCAGGAAGGCATGGGGGAAGGAGTGGAGGATGGTAGCTAGGAAGGTGGGAGGAGGAAGAGTAGGAGGGAAGGAAGTTATTTAAAAGCCTACAGTTTCTTAGAATTCTGTTGTATGGTGGGTATAGAAGGATTGGGCTAATGACTGATGAGTTTGGAAGAGGTACCTCACAGGAGAATAATCATAATCATACTAACATAATAATTTGACTCGAAAGTTCCAACGCTTTTGTCTTATAATTATTAGCAACAAAAATTTATGACATTCACAGAATCATAAAATGACAATATAATTACAATAATATCAAGAACCAAGTCAGTTTCAGGTAATTGGTTTCACACTAGTTAAGAAAATGTCAGTTGGTGTACACATATTGAACAAAGCAAGCAATTCTGCAAAAGCTAACAGAAAGCCTACGGGCCTTTTCATTAATTTATTAATAATGAAAACAGAATAAATTTTTCTGTGTTGGAAAAGTTGTGAATAGAAGCTATGTCCACCCAACCATCATGTCAAAGCTGAGAAAGTTCTGCCCTTTATCCCTTTTTCTTATCCCATTTCAATCATGAGAAACTGAAACAGAGGTAGATTCATTAATTCATCCAAAGTTACTTACAAAGACAACACTTTTACTACTGTTATTGCACGTCCTCTATTAGATTAAATTATTGGTGAAATGTATTAAAGGACTGTATTAGGCAAACATATTGTGAGCTATTATCGGTATAAAGATCCTTTCTAAAGTGATCTAATTGTTCAACTGCCTTTGCAAACATGGCTTTCATTCTATCTAAATCACTGCTGATAGTGCTGGTCCACAAAAGAAATTTGGTATCTTCCACTTCATTCCATTGACATTTAGCTTTTTTTCCCTCTCCCTGTGCCATTTTCATACATAAATGACTAAATTCTATCAAGAGAACATTTTTTGAATACGCCACTCTCAGGACATCCTTTGGCGATGGTAGAAAACAGGTTTAGTTACCAGAGACAGAGTTGTCTCAAAAGAAGAGCTGTCTTCTATCTCTGGAGGTCATCTCCCATGGCAGGTTCAGTCTGAGGAAGACAACAGCTTCCCCTGACAGAGAAAGGCATCTGCTGGACCACAAGGGCAGTCACAGGATGACAGCTGCCTCTTCCAGATGGCCCTTGCACCCACTGGTCTTGTTTTATGGAGAGATTGTTTAAGCACCTCAAAGATCATGTTTCATGGGCAGGAAAGTTTACCTCAGGTTGCTTCTGGGACAGGCTGCTTCAACATCTATGTCAGAATCTGTACCCAGAGGGTGTATTCTTCAACCTGACTCTCTTCTTTGGCTTCAAGTGATGAGGGCAGAGGTACAAGGACAATTACCTGAGAAGCAAAGGGAGCAACTATGGATCTTACACAGCTATTGCTCACACTTTTGGAAAAAGGCCAAGACCCATGTGAGAGTGAGCATCAATAATCAATGTCTATCTGACCTGGAGACACCGATCAGGTGTCTACTACTTAGGGTTGATTATCCTTTTAATAGTCACCTGCGGCTTTCCTGCTACCATGCTTTCACTAAATTCTGCTACATTTCATACTGAAAAGAAATCAGAATATATTCTGATATTAAGAGTTCAGGTATACAGTAAATTCAAAAGAAAAAAAATCCATACAGCTAGTTAGTGGGTGAATCAATTTCTTAACTTCATATTATCTAATAGGTAAAATGGAACATTTCACTTATAAGAGATGAGGTAAGAAAGAAATTAGGTGCATTATATTTTATCAACTTTATTTGTATTTGTATCTTAGTTTTATTGATTGTGGGTTTTAAGTACAAGCAATATCTAAATGTATATTTCAGAAGAAATAAGATATCTTGGCTAAAAGAAAAAATGAGAAATAAATTTTCATTTGAAGTCAATATTCTTAAAGCAAGTTGCATGTACACTGTAGTCTTATTTTTCCTTCAAAGGTTGTACTCTAAATTGAAATGTCATTGATATACTTTTATAAATCAGAACTGCTAGTTCATGTATATTTTATTCTCTACACCAATCCTTTTAGGATATAATTAAATGCAAACAAACAGAAAAGAACTAACTGGAATCAGTGTGCCCTTCTGAATGACATATCCGTCATACCTGCAAAGCCACCTCATCATCTGAGCTGCTGCACTTATGCTCATAAATTTGACAAGGCTGGTTGATTCCCTTCCAAGCCCATTTACATTTAGAAATATGTAGCCATAGTAGATATTTTTCCATTAATTTATAAAGTGCTTCGGTTATGATGAAAGGCAAAATTACTGGTTTGTTTCCAGAGCACAGGTTACCATTATCTTTGTATCTCACAGTGGGTGCAGAGGCTTTGAATACTAACTGAAATCCAGGACAAATCTTGCTATGTTGCAGAGGAGAAAATATTTGGTTAGGATCGAGCAAAGCTGCCCATGGTATCATCTTTCATTAGGGCCACTTAGGCCAATATATGGATAAAATGATTCATCCCTTCAACTCTACAAGCCATTATTTCTAATTAAAAACTACCCCATAAATACCCATTTTATTATGGCATCTGTGTGGTAAATAAATTCAGGCTATCAGTAAAACACTCACCAAGGATATTACCTTAAAAAATTACTTCATTTCCAAGTGTATCTTCCTAATTAAAATGACTATTTCCCATCCATATTTCTGAACTGTAATTTATAATAAATTCAGAGTCTCTGAATATCCAATACTCAAGCAAGATGAAGTTCTAAATTTGAAAATCATGCTGCCTACTAGATAGAAAAAAGTTAACCATTTACTGGCCTTTCCCCAATATATGCATGAAAATCAATAGTTCTTTCATGATCTATGAGAAAGAGAGTAAGTAGATAAAACTCCAGCCAGGAATCACCTTTTCACAAACTCAAAGCTATACAAACAGGGTGAAAATACAATTAAATTTTATCTCCTTTAAATTAGTATGTACGGTGCCTATGGATATAGAAAGATATTTGGATATATATCTCAATACTT